ATGAAATGGTTCGCTTATGCAGCAATGATAAATGTGGTTATTGTTGGTAGCTATGCGCACAATTTGGTAATCTTTGAAATTATTTTACAAGACTGAACAGATTTTAGCAATGTAAAATTTTGCACTCAACAATTATTGGTGCAGAGGTGCTTTATTTGGATAAAAACTATCTGCCCAAAATTTTTACAGACTGAAAGTTTTGCTGAAACTCACCTCTCAAATGATAACATTGGCAGACAAGAACGAGAACAACAGCAAATTCAAAGACCCATAGCTTTCGTAGTACCAAATAAGCGAAGAAGAATCCAACAACCACAACAAGAAACGATGCACAGTGCACGATCTTCTCAGACTTTTACATCACAGCAACTACCATCGGAAGAATCAGTGGTAGTGAATATTTTGCAGGTTGCAAATAATCTGCACCGGTCACTGCAAAACTCGTATCGCGATCAGTTAGAACAGCTCAACTTAAACCTATCGAATCACGTGTTGTCAGGTGAATTTGTATATGTTCCTCCCCAGTTTTTTTTACTATCACCGGTTCACAGATCTAATAATCTGATTCATATCAACAGATTGCATAGTCAGAGCAATATTTTACAGAATAGCTCTCTATTTATACCTAATTACACATTAGAGACCCAAACCCTAATTGATTATGTGCACGGAATCATAGTTTCAAATACCACTGGATTTCAATCGAGTTGATTCAGTCGGTATATCAACCGCCAAAATTTCATATTAACCGTTTAATATAAATCATTCTGAGTATAGACCTGCTATTTTTTATTTCATTTTGACAACAACTTTTAATTCCTTTTCATACGTTTCATTAGAAATTTCGTGCGTCGAAAATTTAGAGACATACACATTTGTTGTACTCACAGGCAGTAATTCATGGATAGCATATAATTTTGATTACTCAAAAATAAAAGTTCGATTATACCACTCAAAATGAGTAATATGTAAGTTCGAGCAATGGATGACTGCAAGAACAAAAATTCTGGATACATTACAAATGCCTGAAAATCAGAAGAGCAATTTAATGTGGTCACAATCATGCAGCTCACGTTGACAGTAGTCAACGTCAAGTTTGTTAATGTGTATTTTGACGCAGTCACTTCAGTTTTGTAAAAGTGGTTTCAAAAATCTTATTTACAATGGTATTAAATACGTCACAATCTGTCACGCTACAATTGTTGCAGCATAAAAACTCAAAATACGTAGGAGC